CACATGTTTTTTTTTTTTTTTTTTTTTTTTTTTTTTTTGTTTTTTTGTTCCGTGTCCGGCAACGGATCGCAACCCTCAGTGTTGCCCCCGTACCGGACCAGGTACCGGCAACGGGATTGCAAACCTCGGTGTTGCTCCCACGCCTCGCTCAGCCAGCGAGCGGGAGCCGGTCTGTATGTGGGATCCGAACCCTCGGGCGGCAGCGCTGCCGCGCCTCCTAAGCGGCACACTATCCAGTGCGCCACTGGGCCGGCCCTGCAAATATCTTTTGCATATTTAACAAAAACACCTCCTTGGAGAATTCCTCAGCCCTGGGAAATCCACCTTTGCCGAGAGCCTGGAGCCACCTCTCTCAGCTCCTGCTCCGCTTCTGTTCTGAGGCCTAAGGCCTGAGTCTGGAGAAAGTTGGTGGATGGAAGTTTTGTATGTGTGGCTTGAGGTTTTTTTTTTTTTTTGCTTTTGCTTTTCCTTTTCCTTTCCTTCCCTTAAAAAAAAAAGCTAGAAAACTTTGTCGAACTTTCAAACTTCAGAGCTCCCTAGTGGCAAGGAGGGGAGGAGAAGAGAACTTCAACCCCCTCCAGCTTCCCACCCCCTTTCCCCAGAGTCACGTCTGACCCGTCTGGTTTCCAGGAGCAACCAGACATGATGTAACACCCAGATGAACTTGAACTTGGGGGTGTTGAGAAGAAAAACAATGGCTCCGAGCAGGGGCTGGAGCCAGCCCCCTCTACTCTGTGCCAGGGAGGCCGAGAGAGCCCTGCTGGCAGAGGGCGGGAGGGGGTGCCAGAGGAAAGGACAGCAGGCGGGCCTCCCCTCCCAGCTCTGGGCTGGCACAGGCGGTGGAGCTCAATTGCTCCCTCCCTCCACTGCCCGCCTGGGCAGCCTGCAGCTCTGCAGTGCGAGGGGACCACTGCCACAAGCCCTCCCTGCTTGTCCCGTTTCCGCTGCCTCCACTTTCTCTGCTCACTTTGCTTGGACATTTTGGGTCAAAGTCAGAGTTTGAGGCAAGTTTGGGAAACAGTTTCCTTCCCTGTGTGTTTTCCCCCTTGGGCCCTGAGTAGTGGGGAAGGAGTCCTGGGCCAGGTCCATGGCCCCTGATCAGGCAGGTGTGCTAGGGGGGTTGGGGGGGCTATGCAGTGGGGACTGGAGCTGGACTAGCTGAGCCAGGAGCCCTTGGGCCTGAGGGCAGGCGGGCGGCTGCTGTGGGAGCAGGGGGTAGAGTCAGGGGTGGTTTCCACAGTAACCAGTGACTTTAGCTGATCTCTGGAGCACCAGATGGAGAGAGAACAATAGAATGAGGGAAGAAAAAAGAATTTTAGCAATTTTGTCATTCCCTGGGCAGCACTTTTTACTTAGTTTTAATCAATTTTGGACCTGGCTCAGGAAGCAGGGAGGGGTGAGCATAAAAAGCTGCTCCATGCTTGGCAGCAGATCCCCGTTCCTGGGAACCACGGGGAGGTGCCAGGGAGTCCCCTTGGAGTCGCCTTTGTCCCTAACTCCAGGGCTGGAACCAGAGTCTTCCTTTTCTGAGGAGGGCCCCCCAGTCTGAGCATTAGTGGTTGTCCCCCAGCCATGCAGCTCAGGAGACCCCAAAGGCCCAACCTGTGGCTTTGGCATGGTCTGCCAAGAGCAGACAGGACAGGTGGGGCCCTCCCAGTCCTGGTTGTCCATGGCCTCCTTTCCCTGGTTGGGAGGGAAAGAGGGTGATCTCAGCCAGAGCCAGCCTTCCCCCCAATCTCAGGGCAGTGGTGCAACGGTTCTCTGTGGTCTCCCCTTGGGAAGGGGCCTCAAAGAACACCAGGACCCTAGCCTGCAAGGAGAGGGGCTCACTCACGCAGCTCCCCACCCTGAGCCTAGGACCAGAAAAGCCTAGGAGCTGGCTGCTGCCCCGGCCTTTGCCACCCACCCTGGGGATGCTTCAGGCCTGGGTTTCTGCCTTCGCTTCGCCAGGCCTCAGTGAGCCATGAGCCTACGTCTGGCCTTTAGTCAATTGACAGGCTTGGACTTCGGGCAGGTGCTCCAGGAGCCCTGCCGAGGGAGGGCAGGTCTCCTTTGTGTGTATTGTCCAGCATGAGGCAGGAAGTTTAGCATCACTGCCTGCCCGCCAAACACCAGCAGTGCCCGGTCATTATGGCAATTCACGTTTCCAGGTGCCCTCAAGCTGCTCCATCCAGTGCAGTAGCCCCTGGCCACATGGGGCTGTTTACATTTAGATTGATTAGCAACTGAAGAAAAATTTCATCCCTTGGTCATGCTAGCCACATCTCAAGTGCCTTGAAACCACTCATGGCTAGCGGCTACTGCGTTGCACAGTGCAGATAACATTTCCACTGTCACAGAAAGTTCTGGATGATTTCTGAGGCCCTTTCTAATTCTGATACTCAGTGTCCCCATCACACAGTGGAAGACACCCCGTAGTCACAGACCAGAGCCTGAAGGGCAGATCCAGCCTGTAGATATCATCTGTTTGACCAAAACAGTGTTTTATTTTTTAATTAAAAAAAATTTTTTTTTGACAGCTGGCCGGTAACAGGGATCGAACCCTGGACCTTGGCATTAACATCATGCTCTAACAAACTGAGCTAACCGGCAGCCTCCCAAAACAGTCTTTTAGTCAAATGCTCTACCCCTGAGCTATACCCCCCAAAACAGTGTTTTAGATATTGGAAATTTTCACATGAAATTTTTTCTGGACTTCTGGCTTCTTTTGAAAAGTGGGCAGCCCAGGCCTCCATTCCAACACGGCAAGCTGGCCCAGGCAGGGTACAGACCCTGCCTCCTGGTGACTGCTGCACAGAGAGTGGTTAGGAGCACTGACTCTACACTGCCCCTGCATTGGAGTCCTGGCTTTGTTGTCTGAGGGCTGTGTAGCCTCAGGTGGGTCACCCACCCTCTCTGCATCTGGCTTCTGTGTGTGGCTGGGTCAAGAGTGGATTAAGTTAGTATCCTGTGTGTGCTGTGTAGTTGGATCTGCCTGGCTTCTGCAGATGGGGTCTGTGAGTCGGGAGTCTGGAGAGGCCCCAAGATGCATTTTCAGGGACCCCCAATTTGCCCAGAGGGTACTGGCCAGGTGTACCCAAGCACAGTAGACCACAGAGGAGGGACCCCTGACCACGAGGTGGGGCTGGAGCCTTTGATGGAAGGCACTGCCAAGTAGCCCAGCCCCTATCCATCCTGGGTGTGCCCTGTGCTGAAGCACCAGAGGCCCTGTCTGTGTGAAGGTGGCGCCCCCTGCTGGCACCTTGAGGGAAGCAATGCCTCCCCAGGGAGCCTGGTCCTTCCTCAGCTCTGGTGCCCTCAAGGTACAGGATCGTGCCTGATGGGCTACATGGCCCCTCCTCCAGGCCTGGCGCAGCTAGGGACTACAGCCACGTGGTTCCCCTGCCCCCAGCCTTTCAGCATGTGGGACCTTGGCTGGGGTGTACAGACGGGAATTTCTGCTTTTAATCCAAAGAGACAGAAAGAAAACTCAGCAAGAGGCTGGGCCACCCCCACCCCACTCCCCAAGCCCCTCTGGATACAAAAGCCCCAGCCTGGCATCCTCTCCACCCTCAGGACCCACACAAAAACCTAAACAATTGGAAACATGGCCAGATCCCAGGTCTGTGCCAGCTCCAGCCATGGGGGTCCCACCCGCTGGGCACCGTGCCCACAGGAAGGCCAGCTGGACTCTAGCACTGGGGTACAGGATGGGGGTGGGGTAGGATTCCCACAGGAGGGATGAAGAGAATGGGGAAGCACTTCTTCCTCCATGGGGGTGGGCTGCCTGGCACCCTGGCACCCTCTCGAGGGGCTATGGTCAAAGGGCCGAGTGGGAGTGAAACAGTACCTGCGCCAGCTGTTCTCAACATTGCCTGTTTTTTGTCCCACTTCAGTCCTGGTTCCTCTGATAAGATCGACAAAAGAAACAACACAATGAAAAGAAGAGGTTCCTCAAAAGGGGGGAGAAGAAATTTTGAGACATGGAAAAATCCCCCAGCCCAGCCCCACCGAAAAGCAAAAATTATACGTCGTCAGCCACTCAGCCCTTCTCTCCTCCCTCCCGGGGACCCCTGTGGGCCCCAGAAATTGCCCAGTTCTCGGAGAGCCCTTGGAAGGGGTCTCGGTGGAGCTGTGTGCCAGCAGCCAAGCAGAAAGAAACATGCAAAGCGGACTCTGTCAAGTAGAAGACAGAAAGAAAGGATGAGACAGAACTGCCTTCCTGCCCACCCACCCAGCCCCAGCCTTCTGGGGAAGGAACAAAATCCCCAAACAAAGCAACCAGCATAGTTCTGAAGGGGCCTGGCCCCCATCCTCGCCCTTCCTAGGGGAACCCCACCCTCCACTGGGCTTGGAGCTTCCATAGGGAGCTCGGAGGACCAGCTTGTAAAGATGATGGGGGCAGATCCTTCGGGCTTTCCCCTATGGGCTCTGCCCCTCCCTCATGGCCTTGGCTCCAACTTCTTCCCCAGCTGCTCTGGACCAGCAAGGGAGGGCTTCCCCCACCCCACCCTTGGGCTGAAAGCCCCCAGGTGGGCAGGGGGTGACCCCTGGAGCTAGTTGCATGAGCCCAGAGACGAAGGTGTTCTGCCACCCCACCCTGAGCCGCAGGGGCAGTTCCTGGACCGACCCCTCTGTACAGTCCATAGGAAAAAGTCGGAATGCTGAGCTCACCCCCAGCTCAGACAGGCCCCCTTTTCCCTCTCTCCGCAGGCCAGGAGGGCCACTCCTGCCACGCAACAAATGAGGGGAGTTGGGCCCCAGGTCACCCCCGCACCCCATCCCTGCATGCAGGTGCCCTCGCTCTGCCCCATTGGTCCCTGTCCCTGCCCCTCATGCAATCAGCCCTGCTGGGGCCAGGCCGGAGAGTGGAGCAGAGAGGGGATTCCGGAGCCGAGCGAGGAGACGAGGCAGCCGTTGCTACTGTCGGCTAAGCCACCACCTGCACTTAGGTAGGCGTCCTGCTCACCGCCGACTTTCAGTTCCTTTGGAGGGTGTTGGGTGTCATCCTTTTCAAGTGTTTTGGAGCTTTCTGCCCTCCCCCCATCACCACCCCTCCCATGGCCACTTCTCTCTGGATTTTAGCTGTAATGTCTTTGCTCTTTATTTAGGGGTGGGGCATTCATTGTTTGGGTCTTTTGCTATTGCAATTGGGAACTCCTCCATTTGAGCAACTTGGGAACAATTTGGTAACACGCCACACCACAGGAAGTAACTCTCCCCCCCCAGCCCCCTCCTCCCCCAAGGGATGGTTGGGGGGCCTGTCCAGAGGGTCTTCAGAAGCCTCCCTGGGAGGGAGGTGGAGCATGAGCACACCTAGCTCCTCTCCAGGGTGTGACTTGGCCCCTCTGGCTTGTCTTTCTGTGCCTTACTCTCTCCTCCCTGTGTCTCCCCTCCCTGGCCCCCTTGGAGTCCTTGTGCCTCTCTTTTTCTTCACTGTTTGAAAACACAAAGCACAGGTCAGGATCCTCTGAAGGTCAATCAATCCAACATTGCACCACGTAGGGGTGGGTTATGGACTTTATTTATTGTGAATCTAGTGTGTGAGGCTGTGGCCCCCCAAGCAGGCAAGGGGGGAAGAGAGGGAGGGCCATTACCTGGGGCTGAAGGGGCCAGGGGGTAGTGCCTCCTCAGCTGGAAGATGGCTGGCCCCAGGGGAGCTTTTGTTGGAAGTTGAGGGAAACCTTCTCCCCCATTCCCCCAGCATGCAGCCGATCCCAGGGCTGAGGGGTGGGGGATCCCATAGGAGCCTCCAGGGGTGGGGCGTGGGGAGTAAGGCCCCAGGGCTGGGGGGGCCGGGTGGGCCGGGCATAATGCGCGGTCAAAGTGCAATGATTTTTCAGTTCGGTTGGCTAAACAGGGTCAGAGCTGAGAGCAGAGCGGAAGGGACCCCCTGCCTGGCCGCACGTGCCCCTTCCCTCAAAGACAATCGGGGCCGCAGACACTGTAGGCCTGCGGGCGTCGGGGCCTGCGGGGTACCCCCCACCCCGGGCGAGGTCGGAAGCTGCAGGCCAGCTGGGCCCGGGCCGGAGCGTGCCCGGCGGGGCTGCCCCGGCAGGCGGGGGTTGGGGGGTGCTCCTTTCTCACGTGGTGTTGTCAGGGGCAGGCGAGGGGCAATGAGGGCGACAACAGATGTGGGGACGTGTTAGGAGAGGAAAAAAACCCACAAAGATATATATGGGGGAAATGAACTTTTGTTTTTTTCATTGAACCAAGTGCAATGCATCAGAGTTTTCCTATCTTTGTATGTTAAGAGATTAAGAAAAAATTCTATTTTTGTTGTAATGTCCTCGAGGCTCTGGGGACGCTAAAAGAACCGGGCCTGCCCCACCCTGCGTGGGGATAATGAAAGCTGAGTGTTTTTCTTTTTTTTTTTTTTTTTTTTTCTGTTTTTAGTTTTTCTTTTTCTTTTTCTTTTTAAGTCGTTTTCCTGTGTTGACGAGGATGATCTGGGGTTTTTATTTGTTTCGTCGTTCGTTCTCGGTTTCGGTGGGAGGGCTGAAGGAAACGTTCACATTTCAGAGTTTTAAAAAAAAAAAAATCCAACACCTCGACATTTAAGAAAACCAACACAAGATCAAAAAGGAAAAGGACGAGAGAAAATTATTTTTAAAGATAATTAAACATAAAAACCCTGGTGCTTCTTACATTATAAAGTACGTTTTTAAAAATTTCACAAACTATTATACATAAGTTTATGAATCAATTAAATATCCTGCACTTGTTAGGAACAAGCATATCCCTTCTTTGTTGAGTTTAACGGAACGGGACAGCGGCGTGCGCCCGGTGGCTGGGCTGCTTCAGCCGCGGGTCTCCCCGGGCGCCCCCTCCCTGAGGCCCAGCGCCCCCTCCTCGCCTCGTCCCCGTCCGGGTACCGGGGCGCGGCGGGGATCCCCGGCCCCTCCCCCGCAGAGGTCAATGCCAACGAACAAACGTCCCCTCCCTCCTTCCTTCCACCCCGAGCGCCCTTCTTTGAGCCAGACGCCAACTTGACCCTCACCAGCATTATCAGGAGCGCGCTCAGCAAGTTGGTAGTTTCCTCTCCCTCCCCATCCCCGGCGCCCCCCCACTCGACATCACTCTTCCCACCCACGGCCCCCTTCGGGGAGCACCGGGAAGGCTCACGCTCCAGGACAGGCCCAGCCACGCTGACAGGTCGATTTGCCCAGGCCCGCGCCCGCACGCACGCACGCACACGCCCCGCACACAGCCCCGCCCCACCCCGCAACCAGCCCTGTCGACTGCCTTACACACCCGCCCCCGCGCTGGCCGGCAGACCTAGTGCCTTGTTCTCACCCCCGTGCTGGCGGAGCGGACGCCGCGCTCTGGGTCCCAGAGGGGCCGGGTGGCTCAGACGACCCACCACTTCCCCACCCCGACCGTGCTGAACGGACCCCCCCACACGAGAGAAAATAAAGGAGCAATAAAGTCACGAGAACTTTCGTCCCCCAATCGAGAGCCCGAGGGGCATCCCAGCCCCGCCTCTGCTCCCCACACCCCACCCACCCTCGGGGCGCCCCCCCTCCCCCCGCAAGCCAGCCTGGGCCAGCCCCGTTCGGCCCCTTCCGGGAGATCCGTGCGCCCGACCAGCACCAGCATCGCGGACCGCAAAGGCCGCCCGTCCCGTCAAACAAGTTTCTTCTTAGGCTAAGAAACGCAGTATATACGAGTATCTCTATATATAGTACTAATGGATTTGGTGTGCTTCCCCCTTAGCGTCCCCTCCCTCTGCTCCTCCTTCAGCCTGGTCTCCCCTTCTCTCTGCCCTCCACCCCCGTCTCTGCACTGAGATACATAAGAAACAAGGGTAGTTTACTGTCTGTTTTGTTTTCTGGGTTTTCAGTGTCCTAGCGGAATGCAAGTAGGCAGCCAGCCCGTCTGTCCCTCTCCGCCCCGCCCCGCCCCGCCCCCGTCACTGCGCTTCTGTTATACCATCTTTGCCTGACTCTCCGGCTTCTTCATTGAATGGCTAATGTGTATGTGAAATAAATAAAGAAAAACAAAAGCAAGAGCGCCCGAGCCTTCGCTAATGTGATCGCGCGAGACCGGGTCGGGGTCGGTGGAATGTGTCCTCGCCTAGATTCGGCGTCTCTCTTCATGCGCCAAGCGCGCCGCAGACGCCTTCGAGGAGCATCTGTCCCTGGGTCTCCGGGAGGGGGCGCCGGTGAGAAGGGCGAAGGCTCCCAGGCCCCTCCCTGCCTCCCCCAGCGACCCCAGCCCGGAAAAAAAGAGGCACCACTTGGGTCCGATGATTGCTCTGCTATGTTGGTTCCCCGACCTCGCCCCTGGGAAGAGGACACGGGCGAGGCCACGGCTTCCAGCAGGCGGTGAGTGATTTTTTAAAAAGGGGTCTTCGGGGTCCCTAGGGGCGAAAGTCACCCTTCCAGACCTGCAGGACCTTGCCCCTGTCGGGGACGTCCTCACTGGTCCCTGTTCGGGGGAGTTTGCTCCCGAGCAGTTACAGCGCGTCGTCCGCTCTTTCCTCGACGGCTCTGGGCTGAGTTCCCGGTGCCCTTCGGCTCAGAGGCGCCGCTGAGAGGGGTCACCGCACCTCCGGACTCAAAGCTGCTTGCTCCATCTTGATGGGCCGCGCCGCCCCACTAGGGTTGCCGTCGGGGTCGGCCGGGGGCGCGGGCTGCGAGCGCGCTGCCGCCTCGGCCCTGCGTCCGGACCCACGGCGGGCACCGTCGTCTGGACCTCGGTGAGCCGGCCGTTTCCGAGGCCCGGGCGGGGTGGGGCCTGCGGCCAGCGCCGCTGCTTGGTCGCGCAGAAGCCGCACCAGGAAGCCGATGTATTTCATGGCGAGGCGGAGGACCTCGTTCTTGCTCAGCTTCCGGTCGGGCGGGTGCGTCGGCAGCAGCTTCCTGAGCTCGGCGAAGGCACCGTTAACGTTCTGCTGCCGCCAGCGCTCGCGGCTGTTGGTGAACACGCGCCGGGCCACCTTCTGGGGCTGGTGCCCTGCGGACAGGAGGGGCAAAGTTGGCGACGAGGCCCAGCGGGCGGCTCCTCCAGCCCTCACTTCAGGCACCCAGCACCCTCAAGGAGACTTAAACCCAGGTGGTGAGCTGAGGCTTTCTCCACCCAAGGGATGGACCTGTAGGACCTGTGTATCCCCTCTCCCCAAAAGCCGCCTACACAAGGACCATCACAGGCCCAGGCTGTGGACAACAAGGGCCTGCTGCACCTGTGACTGTTATGTCAGTGGCTGAGATTCTCTAGGGAAATTTTTCCTTGTGCCTGCACTCTGGGGAGCTGTCTCTGTGGCCCTCATTCTGAGTGTCCCCATGTGTGGCTGGGTGTGCTCATGGGTCTGAGAGATACTCTTGTTGTGACTGTGACTCGTGGTATATGTGATGGCTGTGGTTGCATGGCAGTTACCTTGTGGTGGTTTGTGATCGTGTGGCCGCTTCATGAATGGCTGTGGTTCTGTGGCTGACTCTTGTGTGGCCATGTTCATAAGTAGCTGTGGTCCTGTGGCTTTCTCCTGTGTGACTTTGTTTCTGTGGGTGTCTCTTTCATGGCTGTGCATTCTAGTGGAGCTGTCATTTTGTGTCTCCCATGCCCTGTGTGGCATGCTCTGTTTTGCCGTGACTCTTTGTGGCTGTGAGGCTTGGCTTATTGGGTGGCAGTGGTTGTGTGGGACTGGCTCTGGGACTGTGGTTTTGCACATCAGCATAACCTGTGTGAGCTGTTCTGTGTGTGTGTGTGTGTGCGCGCGGCGCGCACTGGAAACACCTCTCGCTGTGGAAGGGTATGGGACAGACCTAGAGTGGGCCCAACTCCTTCGGTGCACTCACACACAAACACACACACACACAAACCCACACTCACCCTCAGCCAGGTCCAGCTCACAGTGACTTGGTCTCCGCTTCAGCCGGCTGCTAGGGAAGATGCTGAAAGGTCCTGCTGGCCCAATGTAGACGCTGTAAGAGGTTGTGGGTCACAAATGCTTTGTGGGCAAGGACCCTGGCCTCCCGTCTCCCCTCCATACACCCCAGCTTCCCACTGACCTGTTGAGGAAGGGGTGAGGGTGGTAGTGCAGGGCCAGGGTGGGTGGGGCAGTTCCCAGGGCGGAGAGTTGTAGCACAGGGGGCCGCAAGGCACTCAGCTCTGTGGTGGGCATGGCTGCCCCTGGGGGCCTGGTGTGGCCCAGGCTGATCACTGGCACGCCAGGGGGCAGCCTGGGGGGTGAGGAGCATCGATGACCCATCTCCTCCACCTGTGGAGGCCCAGGTGAGGCAGGCTTAGGGGGTGGGGCAGGCACTGGGCTGGGGGCACACACCATCTCTGCCTTCTCAGTCATGGTGGAACCCACCTCTGCCTGGGCCTGGGGCGGGCACATGGACCCCGATGGGGGGGTGCTCACCTGTGGAAGGGAAGGAAGCCAGTGGAAGCCAGCAGGTGCCCCTCCCCCACCTGCTTAGCCCAATGCAGCCCTCAGCCCTCGAACGGGAGAGGAAGGAGAGGGGAAGTGGGCCCAGAAATTGCTAGAATATGGGAGGGGGTCCCTGAGCTGTTCCTGTCCCTTGGGGGGTTCTGTCACCCAGCTCTGAGCAAATTTCCCTACTTCCATAATCCCCCTCACCTGCAGCCTGGAGCAAGGACAAGGCAGGGAGCCCCTGACTGATCCTGGGATTCCCCCAAACCCCAAGATTGACCCTGTAACTCAGATCTGAAGATCTGATCCTGAGGCCCCCTCACTGACTCATTGACGCCATGTGACCTTGGAATCCCTCCAAGATTGACTCTGACTCTTCACTGACTGCCCCCAGGCTGACCCTGTAGACTTCAGGTATGACCCTGAGGTTCCTCCTATTGCCTCCACATCTGACCCTGAAAGCTCTCCATAATTGCTCCACTGAACTCCATTTCTGCTCAAAATGTCCCCCTTACTAAACCTGTGGCCCCACTACTGACACTGTGACCCCTAACCACTGACCCCACTGCCTAGTCCAATCCAGTCACGCCTCAATCTTCCATCGGGCTCTGGAGTCCCTCCACCCCCACCCCATCAGTATCCATGTTTTTGCAACCCGCCTCAACATCCCTGTTCACTCCCTGCTCCAGGGCCTGGGGAGTCCCAACAAGCTTTGGGACTTCTGGTCCCCCTGCCCTGTCTTCCCCAGCTAGGCCTTGTAGAAGTTGGCCTGGCCCTCACTTAGTGGGTCCCTGCTGCTGAATGAATGAATGAATGAACAAAGGAATACAAGTGGGGTCCCAGGCCCAGGATCCTCTTCCTTCAGGTAGGTTCTCTCTTACCCCAGTGCTGTTCCTGCAGCCTGGTGAGTGCCCGGGCTCTGTCCACTCAGGGCTGGCAGTCCGGACCAGGATGCAGTTTCCAGCGTCAGGCCAGACTCCACTGTCCTGCTCTGGTCTGGCCTGTGTGCTCCAGGCGGCCCCATCCGGCCCCAGCGTTGGGCCGCGCCTCCTCCCAGGTTCCTGAGAGCCGGGGCAGCCGGCGTGGGTCCCCTGAGGGAAAGTGAGCGGCTCCCTGGCCGGCCCGCCCTCTCCCCACCCCCGGCGGCCCTGTTTCCTCCCTCTCACCCCTGGTGCAGCGGCCAGAGGATGTTGGGCCAGGGCAGATAAGGGCCTGACTGCCTGGCCGCGCCTGATAAGGAGCCGGGCTGACCCCGGAGGAAACCGGGAGGCGGGGATCTCAGAGTGTGGCCGCTGGGAGGCCCCGCCCCAGGCCGGCACAGGCTGGACTCGTCCGTCACCCCTCAAGGCCTCGCCTTCCGTTCCCCCAGGCACTGGAAGGGCCCTGGCCCTTTGGGGTATGGGGACCCTAGCGCACAGTCTAGGGAAGGTGCCCACTTGTGAGCAGAGGGGAAACTGAGGCAGAGAAGCTGCAGCCTCCTGTGTCCTCTGGGTCTGCCCTCTGGCTTAGAACACCCCCTGCCCGAGTGTCCGTGCTGATGGGGGTGGGGGAGGGCCCTTTCCGCCCGTTGGGGCCGCGTGACTCTGGGGGCCCCCTCCTTCTTCTCTCCTCACCCCTCCTGGTTCCTCTTTTTACAGAGCCTCTCCCGGCCTCTCCACCACCCTCACTTGGAGTGGGGCACCCGAGGGGGACAGTTCTGACAGTCTGGCATTGGGGGTTCAGCCTGGACAGGTGTCCTGGGCCCTCTGGACACTATCCACACCACATTTCCAGGCCCAGGAAGGGGAGAGGAAGTGCCACCGCTGGGGGGATGGGTTAGGGTGTAGGATTTTGTAGGGTGCCAGAGCTGGTGCTGCCTTTCAGTAGGTGCCCCAACAGGTCTCCACAATTCTGGGCCTCTTGGCCTCAGGATCACATTGCCCCAATTTAGTGGCCCCTCGCCCTCACCCCACAGCACTGGGCCACTTCATGGGGGAGCAGGTATGCTGCAGTGCTGGTGAAGTTCCAGACTCCACTGAAACCTCACAAAGGGAAAAGCCTGGTCATAGCTAGGTAGCAGGGATCCAATGGCTCCTTATCCCCAGTGTCCTGCCACCTGGGTTGGTTATACTTGTGTGTGTGTGTGTGTGTGTGTGTGTGTGTGTGTGTGTGTGTGTGTGTGTGTGTCTGGGTGACAGCAGGAGCCCCAGGCAGCCACCCAACACCAATACCACCACCACCACCCTCCCAGGAATGGGGTGAAGCCCAAGACCCCACAATCAACACCCCACTGCTTCCCCCTAGGGAAACAAGAGCTAAAGTTTAAGCACATGATGGCCATCCAAGGTGGGTTCTAAGCTGAGCCTCACTTTACAGATGGAGATGAAGTGTGCATGTGGCAGAGAGGGGATCCTGCTCCAGGACTCTCCGGTAACGTTACTAGCCTCCTGGGGAAGTGGGGATGCAGCAGCTTGCAGGATCCCTCACTGTCTGCACGCCCCCCACGGGCCGCAGGGCAGGAAGCACCTGGTCTGGAGCGGATGCACAGGGCACCCGGTTCCGGTCTGGCTTCCGCCACCGCGGCCCAGGAGAGCTGGGCCAAAGAAACCAGGCGGCAAGGAGGCAGCGGCGCGAGGACACAGCGGCGCGAGTACACGTGGAGGCTCCGTGTCTGGAGAGCGCGCCTGCGCGCGTGCCCGTGGCCGGGAGCGCGGCGACGGTGTTGGCAGAAGACAGGCACAAGTCCCCAGGGGCGAGCGCACGGCTACCGCCCCGTGGCCGCCTCGGGAACCGCAGGCGCTGGCTCTCGGGTAGCTAACGGCTGGGTGTGGCAGAGGGTCAGACCACCGTGCACACTCTGGTCAGCTCCCACCTCCCATACAGCCAGAACACCCCAGTCAGGAACAAACAACCCCCCCAGATGGCAGATATACTGATGGACAGAAGAACAGTCCCTAGTCATGGCCATATAGATGGGCAGAGCCCCTCAGGGAGATGGACAGATCAACCACAAGCAGCCTCCCCACTCAGACAAATGACAATCAGAGGAAGGTAATATCTCTTTATTGGCTCAGTCTACGCCTGGCCCAGGGGTGGCCCCAGGCCCAGGGGGATTCTGGTTGGAGGTCTCTGGACAGTCACTTGGTATAGCATCAGCAGAGGCTCTGGGTGTTGGGGGGCTGTGGGAGTAGCAGCACTCATCCCCCCGTTGACAGGTGCCCTGGTGGGAACAGGGTAAGTGTGAACCCATGCCCCAGAGCTCTCCCAGCCCTGCCTTCCCCTTGACCTAGCCCTATTGCCTGGAGGGTACCCATGTATCCTACAGTGGGAGAGAGACAGGAGGCACCTCACCTCCTTGAACCTCTTGCAAGGAAATGTCTTGAGCCGGGCAGCCCGCTGGGCCGGGTCTTCAGTCGGTTCCTTTCGCTTATTCTGGAGCAGCCTGCGTCTCTCCTCCATGGCTTCGTCTGCCACCTTGCCCCTGTGCCAGGAGATGGGGAGCTGGGACCTCATATGGCCCTTGCCCTAACTGAACCCCACCCGCATGTCACTGCCACTCACCCTGGGCGGGCACGGGGCCGGGGACCCCAGTTGGCCTCTGGGTTGATCTGGAAGCGCTTGAGTCCTCGCTGGCGGGAGCTGGGGTTGGCATCCTCCCGGATGGTGAAGTTGGCCTGCAACCTGCAGGAATGGGGATGGGGGCTGGGGGCAGCAACCATGCGGGTGTGTGCGGACCACCCACGAGGCCCACCCACCTCAATGTAGCACGATGTGTCTGCCCGTGTCAAGATCTTCTCATTCAATTAATAAACATGTTTATTTTATTACTGTGTGCATCCACTGTTCTCAGTGCTGGGAGTGGGAGTCTGTGTGGAGTGAACGAGGTGGGGAGAGAGTGGAGTAGGATGAGGGCAGGGAGGTGACAGGCCAGACTATGTAGGTCCTGGTGGGCTGCAGGTAGGACTTCTACTGGGTGATGTGGGAGCCATGGATGGTTCTGGGTAGAAGAGGGATGTGCCCTACCTCGGGTATTCACAGGTGCCCTCCGGGCACAGTGAGAACAGATAGTGGTGAATAAGGGAGGGTGGGGCAGGAAAGGAGAAGTGGAGAGATTCTGGATCTCACTTGAGATCCAGATGAGCGTGTGTCTGTGTGGGGAAGTGTCTGTCATCTGCACACATGTGTGCTTCCTTGGCCTATGGGCAGCCCTGCTCCCTCGTGCATGCGTGTCCCTGTACCTGGGCTCCACACTGAGAATGCGGAACGCTGGGCTGGTCTCTGACAGTCGCTCCCGTTTCACTGGACACTCCTTCTCCTTGGGGCAGAGGTCAGAGGTCAGAGGCTATTGGGCCACCGCCTGCTCTCCCACTTCCATTGGGTCAGCCCCGCCCTCACCCAGCAGCGCATGATGTCCCAGATAGCTGAAGCAGGGGCGTCCGTCTTCACTGCGTTCTTACAGGCGTGGGAAAGCGAGACCCGGAAGCCAGCATGGAGGAGGGCCGACCTGGGGACCAGCAGGGACCATGAGGGGGAGGCTGGACCCTAAAGCTGGGGCTGACGTGTGGGTGTGAGCCGTGTCGTGTGCACTGGCACGGCTGCACTTCTCCCAGTAACTACGTGCAAGTGATTAACATAGTAAGTCTATCCCCTGGTGAGGGCTCGGGGCTGCTGGGTTCTGTTCTGAGCACCTGTGCATGAGAAGCCCTGGACTCCGATGGCCCAACTGGCCCAGGGCCACCTCCTCCCGGCCCCAGGGGCCCTCACCGTAGCTGCAGGAGGCTGGGTGTGTTGCAATGGATGGTGCTGCTCAGCTGATCCAGCGTGTAGTAGAGAGGCACGTCTGGGAGCTCCTGCCAGGGGAAGCAGATGGGCATGGGCGGCCGGTGAAAGGGACCGGCACCAGAAGAGCCCCCTCCCTGTCACAGCCAGGCTTCCACCTCAGTGATGACGCTCAGGACCCCTCGGATCCGCTCGGACGTGTGGAAGCGGCTGGGGTTGGCGCTCACAGCCTCCAGGACACGGCTCACGAAGTCCAGGTCATGGATGGGCTCTGCCCACATGGGGCCACCGAGCTGTGGACGCACAGGGGACAGGTGAGCAGGGAATGTGACCTCCAAGACCCCTGCTCCCTCACCTCCCCTGGCCCAGCCCTACCTGATGTCGCTGCCTGCAGTGCTCACACTCAGGGGTCACCGGGGGACCACAGGCTGCAGAGAACTTGACCCTGCATGCAGAGGGGCCAGAGGAGCTGGGCTGTTAGGTGGCAGCAACCCTGGGATTCCCCCTTCACCTTCTTCCCCAGCACGCCCTTGCTCACCGGCCACCAGGGGCTCCTGATGCTTTGCCGAGGCGCTGAAGGTGGAAGGCCCCACAGCCCACACACTGGAACACCAGCGCCTGCTTGCTGTGGGGAGCCGGCGGAGGGGAGGTGACATGAGTTCCAGCATGCTAACCACACCCCAACTTCTCCCTCAGACTGGCTCGGTCCCCTTAGAACCCTTTGCTCCCCCAGGCACAGACATGTCTCTTCTCTCCAATCCATCACCCCTCCTCGCCACCACCAGGCTGACCTGGCTGAGGCTTTGACCTTGGCCTGGCCAGTGAAGACGCGAACAAAAACACGCACATAGAAATCCGCACTGATGCTGAGCAGTGGCACCACGAAGCGCTGGTAGCAGTTGGCACGGAGGTCCAGGCTGTGCAGGACAATTCTCAGGGCCTGGGGGCAGAAGAGTGGGCATCAGTCCTCTCTCACTGCCCCCTCAGGAGCCATGCATGATGCTCATAAAGGAACCCGGCTCCCTGGGTTCCAAGCCTAGCCCCGAGCACCCTGGCTGTGAGACCCTTGACAAATGAATACCACCTCTCTGTGCCTCAGTTTCCTCATCTGCAAAATCACAACAGTCCCTGTCTCTTTGTGACCCTGTTGGGGGCATTAAATGACTGAAGCACACAGGCCCAGTAGACTGAACCAATTCTGATTAGCATCGCTGGCACGCCTTGCAGTGTGTGCTGTGGAGGGAAGACCTGTGTTCTGGCCCCATAGGGCTCTATGGTCAGGCAGTGGGGACACTGGGCATTGCAGAACTGCTGGGATCTCCTCCTTGTCAGGGGCTGCTGTGAGACTCCAACATGGGAAAGGAGGTGGCATTTCTCAGACTGATCTTAAGAAATAAGGACAAGAGCCCCTCCTTTCCGGGTCCCTTGACATAGCCTGCCCCAACCTTGTCGAATTCCCACAGCAACCCATTAGTGTTAGTGCCATCATCACATCCATTTTACAGATGCAAAAACCGAGGCCCAGAAAGGTGAAATCACTTGGCTAGAGCCACCCACAAATCTAGAATTTGAACTCAGACCTGGAAAAACAGCCTTAAAAATTTTTCTTTGGGGGCCGGCCCCGTGGCTCACTCGGGAGAGTGCGGTGCTGATAACACCAAGGCCACGGGTTCGGATCCTATATAGGAATGGCCGGTTTGCTCATTGGGTGAGCGTGGTGCTGACAACACCAAGCCAAGGGTTAAGATCCCCTTACCGGTCATCTTTTAGAAAAAAAAAAAAAAAATTTTTTTCTTTGGAAAAGTTGTTACAATACAGAATCCTAGGAAGAATGATGTGACCACCTGCTCTTACCCTGGGTGAAACCACTGCCCCAAAGTGATCATGATTAGAAACCCATACTCTTAGGAACTATGCAAGTTAAAGACATGCTTGTCATTAACAACTTGGGATGGATCTGGCTCTAGCTGCCTAGAGGAAGCTGAGTAGGTCTAAGGGGTATGAAGGTGTGCCTGGGGGGTTCAGAACCTGCCCCCTCACCTCCCTGTCTAGCTGGGAGGGCCCCTCACCATCTCATGGCAGGCCCGGCTCTTGAGGGCCATGGCCCCGTACTTGCTGTAGCATGTTTCTCCGCTGTTCCCTGCCAGCACCGCCATGTCCGTGCAGGTCACGCACAGCAGCCCTGCAGAGAAGGGCTGGGCAGTGAAAACCCTCCAAACACCCTGAGCCCTGCTCTGTACCCCTCCTCAGCCCGGCCTCACCTCCTTCGCTCACACTCTGCACAGCTGCGTCCAAGAAGTGGACAGGGCTGCCATAGGGGTCCAGGTCGATGACATCAAACCTCTCCGACACCCTCTGGTGCTGGTACATCAGCATCCTGTAGGAGAGCAATAGGTCCTCAGTCTCCCACACCAGGTACCTGCCCTGTCCCCTACACATGTTAATTCCCACAGTGAGGTGGTTTTGGTTAGAACTCGGCGGCCAGCTTCCCAGGTTCAGGTCCTGCCTTGGCCATTAGTTATGGTTTTCCTCCTTAGATGGGCTCAGTCTACCCATCTATGACAAAAACAACGACAATAGCCAATAATGATATAGGACGTATATACCTAACACTGTTTCAAGCAGTTTATAGATGTATTAACACATTTAACTATGCCAAAGAACCGCACGGGCTACTGTTGTTTGCTTTGCAGATATGGAAACACAAATGCTACCTTCTCAACAAAGCCCACCCTCACCATGTAATTTAAAATTGCACTCAGTTGGTTAGAGTGCAGCCTTTTAACGCCAGGATCATGAGTTTGGATCCCCATACCGGCCAGCCACCAAAAAAAAAAAAAAAAAAAAAAAAAAACCCTCACCACCTTCCTCAATGCCCCCTACCCTCTATTTTTTCCATAGGACTTTTCACCTCTAGTTTATTTACAACATAATTTACTTAATTTGTCATGATTACTTTTTATCCTATTGTATGTATTGTATGTATTTCCTATTAGATTCCAATAGGGTCAGGAAAATAAAATTTATTTTTCTATAAAAAGTCAACTAGGATTTTAGGCTTTGTGAGCCACATATGGTCCCTACTGCATATTCTCTTTTTTAACCCTTTAAAAATGTAAAAAACATTCTTAGCTTGTGGGCCATAAAAAGCCAGGCTGTGGGCCCCAAGACTATAGTTTGCCAACTCTGACAATGGTCACGGATTTTGTCTGTTTTGCTTACTCATGCATCTCTGGCAGGAACAGTGCCTGGCACATAGCAATGAATGGAAATACGACGGTTCATTTGATTAATGAAAGAAATACAAAAAGTTAAGTAGTTAAGTCTAAAATGGAGACCATCATGGTACTTATTTCTGGCACAGAGTATGGGCTATCCAATTATTATTTACTACTTAATCATCACAGAAACCCCTGCAGAACTACTGTTCTTGTTTGACAGACAAGGAAACGGACTCAAAGAGGCTAAGTCACTCGCCCAAGGTCATGCAGTGAGAATAAGCCAGAGCCAGAATTTGACCCCAGGTAGTCCCTAGGCCACCCCCTAGGCTGTGCTGCCCAGAACCTACCTGGCATCGGCCTGGCTGGGCTGTACCAGGTGGGCCACGTTATTGAGCTGCACATTACGACGAATGAGATCCACAGCCTGAGCAGAGGAGTCATTGGCCACCACAGATCGGAGCCCAGGTACCTCTCGGGCAAATCGAATGGAACGTAGACCTGAAGCTGCCAGGCCCTCCAGCACCCACAGGCCTTCCTGTTGGAGTAAGCAGGGAGCCCCACTCACACCTATGCCTCCACCCTCCTCTGGGCCCCACCTCCTATAGCTGCCCACCTCCAGGAGCCCTCCCTCCTGTCACCCACTGGATTCCCGGGCTGCCACCTCCTGTGCTCAGGTCATACCTCACAGATCTCTCCCACAGCAGCCGTTTGAGGTTGGTCTCCTGGGGCCAGATTTTCACCCTCTTTCAATTCAATCTTTTCCTCTTCTTGCTCCGACAAGTCCACGACCACCTTTTGCACATCCTTCTCACCTGGCACCTTGACTGCAACCAACCAGAGGCACGAGTCAGGGGGTATCAAAGCCCCCTCTGAGAAACCTCCCATTAAATCTTCATAATACATAAGATTCATGGAAGGAAATCTTCCCAAAGTCCCTGGGGAAAGGCTAAAGGAGCAGAATCCCAGACCTGCTATGTGACTGGTGTCTTTCTGGAGGTTGGGGGTGTGGGGTGGGGGGCAGGAAGGGAGAGAGCTTTGTGTGAACCACACCCACCAGAAGTCTGGACCTCCACTCACTCTGGATTCCTTTGGCCCCAAGTTGAATGCGAGCAAACTCGGTGATCACAGCACATCTGGTGGGAGACGGAGGATCAGCTCATAACCCCTCATCCTCACTGACCCACTCCCCTCTGCCAAGTTGACCCCTGCTCACGTCAGGTCCCGGTTGAACTCCTGCACCGGGTTGTAAAAGACCTTGTTGGCGCTGGGGAAGGCGATCTTGGCGGCCCCCTCGGTGACTGTCGTCTCCTGGGCTTCACGTAAGCGCTCTTCTCCGCAGGGCCTGCTGCCGTTCTCCATCGGTGCTGGATTCGGCGGCCCTTGGGGCTGCCCCTCCATAAATCGGGCTCTACAGAGACTTCGGGCGGAGCGGAGAGTGAGGCTTAGCCACAAAACGATCCTCGTATGGGACATCCACGCGCGGGCGCCTCTGATTGCCAAGTCTAATTCGGGGGGCAGGGGTGGGCATAGAGAGAGGATCAGAGAGCTGCATTCCGGGGCCAGGGGGTGGCCAGCGCATTTAAAAAGTAGAGACTAAGGACCCCCTGCGGCCTCTGTAAGATGACGTCCCCAGTTTTCGGGAGGACTGGCCTTTGCAGATTCGGAAGTCCTCGAGCGGGCCCACCCCCAACCCAGACCACTCCCTGCACCGCCCAGGCCCTCTTCACCTTCTCCCGGCCCAGAGTACCGAATTAGTTTCGGTGCACGTTTCCCGGATTAGGACCTGGGCGTCGCCATGTTGGCACAGTGGGAGGGCCGTTCACGTGACATAATTAGCCAATCAGTGATGCCACCTACGGTGGGTGGTCCGGATCAAAATACAGTACAGAAAGGTAGCGCGCTGAACGTGCTGTACGGGTGGCCTTAATTACAGCGGCTTCCCTGGGAGGGAACTCATAACTAGTCCCATTTCACAGATGCGGAAGTTGTGGCTCAGAAAAGGGGCGGTAAGCGGAGAAACTCAACACCTATTGATCGTCTCCTGTGTGTTGGGTGTTGTATCGTACATATTATTTCAAAGCACCCTGCAGGGATAACTCAGGCTCTGGGATCGGATTTACTGGGTTTGTAGCCCAGTTCCACTACGTGCTCTGGGCAATTTCCTTAAACTCTCTGGGCCTCACTTTCCTTACCTGTTAAATAAGAATCTTAGCCTCCAAGGTAGAGCAAAGATTAAACGACAGAATGCCTAGAAAGTGTGCAAAGCAGACACTCTCACATAGTAAGCCCTCGATAAGTCCTAGTCGGTGTGTGAAGGCAGGAGAGCATAGTGGTCCTGCCTGCCTGGGTTCCAGTCTCAGCTTGCATTGTTAGCTGTTCTTAACTCTGTGGTTAATTTTCCCTATTTGCAAAATGGGCAGAACCTTTTAACGTTCGTTATTGAGTTGTGGTGAGAATTAAACTGGTTGGCGCAGGTAAAATGCTAACAGGACCTGGTATCGCTTAAACCTCATGAAAGTCTTAGCTTTTGTTATCGCTTCTTGAGCCTGGGTTTATATCCTGGCACCTGCCACCACTTCCTTGCTGTGTGATCTTTAGGTTTCTTCATTTCTCTGTGCCTCTCTTTATTTTCTATAAGTGTTTGTGGAATAGTTCCTACCTAAAACCTCCTAAAAAGTGCCTAAAACCGTGCCTGGCACAATAAAAGCAGTCATTGTTTTCGTTTTACAGGAAGCTAAAGTTTGGAAAGGCAGAGGGACTTGCCCTAGGTCGCGGGACTAGAAGGTGGCGGGATCAGGACTTGAACTGCCCAGCGGAGCGGAGGTACCAGAGGGGACCCCGAAGGGCGGAGGGAGGAAACGGCACCGGGAAGCAGGTGGGGGGGG